CCGCCAATTCTCTTTTTAAGAGGTTTAGTCCTACCCTGCTTTATTAGATTGTTCTACATGTACTTGGCAATTCAACAGTTATTCAACAAATATTAGCGGAGATCGAACAAAATGGTTCTCAATTAATTCCCTGTTATTTTGGAAAATAGGTGGAGTAATTGCTAGGGGGGTGTATTTGCCCATCATCAAATCTCCCGTTCATCATTCGATTCACAGTCCCCTAATTTTCCGTAAGATCGTCGGGCGTTTACGGGCGGCAATCTTGGATAGGTAAAGCCCCACGCCCGCTCCCTCGGTTCATGTTTATTAGATAACCGTCCGTTCCGGTAAGCTAGCGCACTATCCTGTCGATCTTACGAAGAAAGAGGGGACTGTAAATAGTCTAACTTCAGATAAAAACCTTTTAATTCAAACTCCATCTGTTGTTGTAGGATAAATTGTTAGGCGGAAATGCTCTAAGATTTCTTGGATTGAAAAGGTCGCAGTTTGACGAAGACCCTGGGGATACAGTGGAAAGCTAATAGTGCAGAGGACTGAATAATTAAATGTTTTTCTGTTAGTTATAGAATGAAGTAACTTTTAAAAGTAAACAGACTATTATGTCTATAAATGCATTTAGACGGAGGTTATTTAAAATGTCCTCTGTTTTTCGGCATCTTGGTGTCTTCCTTTTTTAAAAGAGCCTTACCGAAGGAAACAAGTCTAAACTGTGTTAATTATTGAAACAAGTTTTTATTTATTGGTAACTATTCTTGTACTTTATTTTAATGACTATGATATACTTGTGAATACGTTATTTAAAGCGGTTAAGGATGGCTTTACAGTAAAAGTACAGTTAAAAAATACTTATTTATATTCAAGTGCAGAACGCAGTTGATGTTAAGCGCATTGTTACTCGATTAGCCTTCTTTCAGTGAAGGTCAGTCTCGATCCTCAAACGGAAGTCATAAAGCAATTAACTACAGTGGAACCCTGTTAATGTTACCACCGTTGGGCCATAAAATCCTAGTCGTAAAAATGAGGTGGTCGCATTAACGGGTGATTTTCGAAAAAAATAAAAATTAAAATAAGCCTGATTTCTACGTTTGAATCGAGAGAATGTGGTCGTAATAACGAGGTGGTCGTATGGCGGGGCTCCACTATGTTGCTATTAAAATTAATGAACAGGCGAGCCTGTACCCTAAAATAATTCATGCCAGAACGTACGGAAAAATCATAGCGTGAAAAGCGGCTTAAAGCCCTTCAGTTACAAGAGCAAGTTTTCTTCAATAAGGAAAACTTCCTCCACCGTTGCTGCGTAAGCCCGATTATGTAACGTGCTACTTGACTCACAATTTTGTTTCGCACGGGAAGGAAGCTACCTCTAACATAGATGTCTCGCAATTGTTTTGCAGCAAGTATGGGTTGCAAAAAGGAAGGTCACGTTCCACATTATGGAACGACGCCTGCTACAGCAAAAATAAGAACAAAGACGTTGCGCTCTCTTTTTGACTGACTCTATAGATCATAATGGCCGGGGATGAGGGGGGGGGGGGGGCTTCTCAA